TGTAGGGCAAATTTTTCTTTCTTTTAAAAAAATTGCCTCAGCTCTTTTTGTTTGTTATTCTTGTGAATTTTATTATTATTTTTTTTAAATTGCTAGAGGATATATATGTTTGCCAAAGAGACAGAGAAAGAGAAAGGAGAAAGCACCTCCTATTGGGGTGTGGTCATGCTGCAAATCCATTCATTTTCTTCCATTTCTCCATCCTTCTCATCATTTTGGGCACACATGCACACACAGTCAACGTATTTTTCAAGTCTCTTAGGCTGGGATGTGAACCAAAGTATACGATGTGCGATCTGGCTCCTTTCACCACTAGGCTACCAGGCTGACCTTCTTTCTTGTGAATTTTAAAATCAGTTTGTGGTTAAACTTTGTTGGGGTATGCATCAGAGTTGCAATAAATTCAGATAAAATGGAGAGAATTATGATGATGATAATATATGGCATTGTTGTCTATAAACATTGGCTAGTTAACTATTGAGTCTTCTATGTCCTTCAGTCAAGATCTAACATTTCTCTAAATAGGTGTGATGTTTTTGTTAGATTTATTCCCACTTTATGAATTTTGTTGCAGCTGGGAATGACATTTTTTTTTCCCTGCATAGCCACCTACCCTCAGTTGATCATTGCTGATGCATAGAAAAAGCTTCAATTTCTTTACAGGAGAAATTTTTACACGTTTTCAAATCTTTTTACAATGGCTTACCTATCAGAATGGCATCACATTTCTCAGTAATAGCCCTGGAAGCAAAAACTTAGTGGAGCAATGCTGTTTCACATTTCAGCTACATCCCAGCCTATAAATTTTATATGCCTTCCTATTAATACGTGTTCAGTTTTATTTGCCTTCCTATTAATATGTTTAAATTCAATAGAAAGACAAAACAGATAGAATAAACGTGAAGGGAGAGCTCATGACTATTTATCTATAAAATGCCCAATATGTCAATAGTCAGTGAGTGTTACTGCCACAATACCTTTAGAAAATTTAGTCTTACAAGGCAAGGACATTAGATGAAGGAAACAGAATAGATTAGCAGAGCTTGGGGATATCTTTGGAAGATAAATAGGGAATATTTAGTTTAGATACACAGAGTAAGAAAGTGAGATGGAGAGGCCCACAGCATGAGAGAAAACTAGACAGCAGGACACACACACATATCCTAGCACTGCCATCACCCCCGTCCCTTTACCCAGTCATTTCTGCTTGTTTATCCTATTTCTCTTCTCAGGGAATTCTTACTTAGCCCCCTGAAATGAATTTAATTTTCTCATTGCCAGAGGACACGTGTGCTTGCCAGAGAATGCACCCACACTTCCCAATGGGGCATCTTCTAGTATGGCTAAATACTGTACATAATAGACCATCATTTCTGAGTGAGACGACTAAGATAATGTAGGTTAGGACATTACTTCTTTGGTTGAATAAGTAGTCCCTGTACTTAGTAGGCATTAAGTAAGTACTTACTGAATGAATTAGACATTTAACAATTGTATTACCTTATATAGGTTGTGCTTATAGCTTATAGGGTACTTTTCATATGAATTTTTGTTTGAGTTTCTCAGTGCTTTGTGAGGTAGGGACAGATTATCATTGCTATTGTACATATGAACCAACTAAGACTTCTGGGTCAGTGGACACGCTTTCAGCGTTGGCCAAAAAGCTATGTGCCCAAGACCAAAACGAAGTGTTGCTTCTCTCAGCCCTGTGCACTCTCCGTTCTGCCGCGGTGTCACTCCTGCTCTGGTTATGCCTGAACAAACACCCCAGGTTATTTTCCCCCAAAAGGCTCAATAGCATACCATTTCCCCTAGCAGAACTTCAGAGCACATTTTCTTTTGGTATCCTTTCTCTGTGTTCCCCTTCCCAAATAAATACAATGATTAGTTATAAAAAATGGCAACACTCCAGAGATATGTAAAGTAGTAGGTGACAGTTGCATTCTTCCAGTCACTAATTAGTCCGTGTTACCATGTGTGTTGTGAGACTTGTCTCTAAGGCACATTCATCCATAATGTATGTGTGTGTAGTAGACGTGGTTTTTGTCAGTGTGTTTGTTTTTTTAAATGCTGCACAGCAGTTTGCTTTTTCACATAGTAATGCTTCTTGGCTGTATTTCCAGGTCATCCTATCTGGTTCTATTTCAGTCTTTTCAACAGTTACAGGAGATTTCCATTGTTTATTTTTGTTATTATTGTATAGGTGTACCAGAATTTATTTGTTCAGTAGTTCCCTGTTGGGCGATCATTTGAGTAGTATTGTCACGTTGTTCTCCATGAAGATTGTACGTATCGGTGTTCCCAAATACCATAAATAAAAGTAGTATTTCTTCACACCTTTATTATTGTGGTACTGTCATCTTTGCCAGGTGAAAATGTTTGATTGTTTTGTGTGTCTATAATTTTAAATGAGGTTGAGTATCTTTTCATATATTTGGCTGATTTTGATTTTTTTCTTTTATAATGGCCTTTTCTCTGCTTGCTTTTGTATTTGTCATCTAATAATTTATTGTTTTTCAAATAAGAGCTCTATATGTGTATTATAAAGTTATTTTCTAGTTTTCTTGTGTATGATGTGTAGTAATTTAAAACTTTTATCATATTCATTGATTGTATTTTTAAGTGACTTCTGGATTTTTTTTTTCTTTTTTTTTTTTTTTTTTTTTTTAGATTTTGCTGTAGGGCATATGTACTTGCTGGAGAAACAGAAATAAAGAGAGACTGATGTGAGGAGTGAGAAAACACCCTTCAGGAGGGATGTCCATGCCACAGTTCTTTCTCCTCTTGGAATTATGGGCACGCACACACACATGCCCAGTGTGTCTTTCAAGCTGTCAGTTCTAGGACTTGAACTGTGGAGTTGGCTATGTGGTATCCAGTACCTTAACCACCATGCCAAACACTGGCCTGTTTTTTAAATATTTTTATTTTATTTATTTATTTATTTAAACTTTTTTCGCCAGGAAGGAGAGAGAGAAAGAGAAAGCAAGAAATCATCCCTGGGGTGAATGGCCACCCTGCAGTCCTTTCTCCATTTTCCTCTTTGAATTGTGGGCATACATGCCCATGTGCCTGGTGTGATTTTCAAGCCACCACATCCAGGACTCAAACCATAGTTGGCCATGGGGGAGTCCAGTTCCTTAATTCCTATTTCTCATATATATATTTTTTTTTTGAGAGGTTTTCGCTATAAGGCGCTTGCGCTTGCCAGACAGAGAGAGAGAGACATAGAGACAGAAAGCGAGAAATCACCCCCCAGGGGGGATGGTCACGCCGCAATCCCTTCTCCTCCATTCTCCTCTCGGGATCTTGGGCACGCACGCACACACACCTGGCGTGAATTTTAAGCCACCGGGTCCGGGACGTGAACCGCGGTCGACTACGTGGGAGTCCAGCGACATAGCCATTACGCTAACTGCTGGTTCCCTATTTCTCATATTTTTAAACATAGTATTTTTTTTTAATCTGGCTTTATTCTGCTTATTGGTTGCTACTAAGAATGTCATCATTTCTTTCATTGTATTTTCTATTTTGAAAAGCAGAAACATTTTAAATCAGAAGAATGAGGATCATTTTGATGTTTGAATAGCAGCGGATGTAACAAACAGATCTATGTGGCCCTGTTTCCATCCCTTTGCTCTCATCAAAAATTAGAAAAAAGAATTCTTGGTTTAGTTTATTATTATCATTCTTCACATTTACAGACTTTGCCGAAGATACTGAGCCATCTTGCTCCAGCATTTTGCATGAGCAGCTGTAGCTTCGTAGTGGAGAAATCTAAAGAATCCACAGCTCGGGTGGTCGTGTGGCGGGAGATAGGAGTACAGAGAAGCTATACCATGGAAAGCACGCTGTGTGGCTGTGACCAGGGGAAATACAAGGTGAAACGTCTCCGGACTCCTACTAGACAGACATTTTGAAACTGTTCTTGTAATACGTTATCAGTTTGCAAGTGTATACTAACTGATAGATTTGTTTGATTGAGTTATACATAATTTGTTATGATGGACTAGAGTCATATGAAGTCTCAAGAACAGTGTGTGTCTGTACTCTGAACTAAATATTTGCTTGGGAGTCTTATTTTGAGGCTATTAACATTAGTAGTTATTTATAAAGCTGATTGGGATACACATTTAAATATCAGCTAGCAATTTGTAATGACCTGTAGGAGTAGTATGCTATTAGTAAAAAATGTGTATTATTTATATTTATTAGATATACGTATTTTTATGCATTTAAAATTAAACACATTATACTTATTTTAAGGTACATGCTTTGTTACATTTTGGATCCTATTCCCTCACTAAATTTTTTTCTTCACTAGTACTGTTCTGTGTTGCCATAGGCTTTCATTTGAGACAGCCAGAGTTCAAACCTTGCTTACAAAATTAAATACTAGTAAAATGTTAGGTACTTTGGATATTTTATTTATTTATTTTTTTAAATTAATTTATTTTAATTTGACCAGAAAGAGACACAGAGAGAGGGGGAAAGTGAGAAAGTAAGCCACCAGGTCTGGGACTCGAACTGTGGTTGGCCATGTGGGAATGTCCAGTGCCTTAACCACCATGCCACCAGATATTTTAGTTTTAAAGCCGCAATCCCTTCTCCTCCATTCTCCTCTCGGGATCTTGGGCACGCACGCACACACACCTGGCGTGAATTTTAAGCCACCGGGTCCGGGACGTGAACCGCGGTCGACTACGTGGGAGTCCAGCGACATAGCCATTACGCTAACTGCTGGTTCCCTATTTCTCATATTTTTAAACATAGTATTTTTTTTTAATCTGGCTTTATTCTGCTTATTGGTTGCTACTAAGAATGTCATCATTTCTTTCATTGTATTTTCTATTTTGAAAAGCAGAAACATTTTAAATCAGAAGAATGAGGATCATTTTGATGTTTGAATAGCAGCGGATGTAACAAACAGATCTATGTGGCCCTGTTTCCATCCCTTTGCTCTCATCAAAAATTAGAAAAAAGAATTCTTGGTTTAGTTTATTATTATCATTCTTCACATTTACAGACTTTGCCGAAGATACTGAGCCATCTTGCTCCAGCATTTTGCATGAGCAGCTGTAGCTTCGTAGTGGAGAAATCTAAAGAATCCACAGCTCGGGTGGTCGTGTGGCGGGAGATAGGAGTACAGAGAAGCTATACCATGGAAAGCACGCTGTGTGGCTGTGACCAGGGGAAATACAAGGTGAAACGTCTCCGGACTCCTACTAGACAGACATTTTGAAACTGTTCTTGTAATACGTTATCAGTTTGCAAGTGTATACTAACTGATAGATTTGTTTGATTGAGTTATACATAATTTGTTATGATGGACTAGAGTCATATGAAGTCTCAAGAACAGTGTGTGTCTGTACTCTGAACTAAATATTTGCTTGGGAGTCTTATTTTGAGGCTATTAACATTAGTAGTTATTTATAAAGCTGATTGGGATACACATTTAAATATCAGCTAGCAATTTGTAATGACCTGTAGGAGTAGTATGCTATTAGTAAAAAATGTGTATTATTTATATTTATTAGATATACGTATTTTTATGCATTTAAAATTAAACACATTATACTTATTTTAAGGTACATGCTTTGTTACATTTTGGATCCTATTCCCTCACTAAATTTTTTTCTTCACTAGTACTGTTCTGTGTTGCCATAGGCTTTCATTTGAGACAGCCAGAGTTCAAACCTTGCTTACAAAATTAAATACTAGTAAAATGTTAGGTACTTTGGATATTTTATTTATTTATTTTTTTAAATTAATTTATTTTAATTTGACCAGAAAGAGACACAGAGAGAGGGGGAAAGTGAGAAAGTAAGCCACCAGGTCTGGGACTCGAACTGTGGTTGGCCATGTGGGAGTGTCCAGTGCCTTAACCACCATGCCACCAGATATTTTAGTTTTAAAGATTGGATTAAAGTACAATGAATTGGACTTTTGGTAAGCAAAACTGATTTTTTTTTTTTTGCCTTAGCACAGAGGATTTTCAGGCGTGATGCTAATTATTCTACTCATTCTGTTTTGTTTTGTTTGTTTATTATAGGGCAAGCGCGAACCGAACTACAGAAAGAGGGTACTGAACTCCAGTACTTTCTTTCCAATAACTCTTGCTGGGTTTTAGGTTGACCCTAGCATACTGTTCTCCCAAAGTGAGATGAGACATCTCTCCAGATACTATGAAATAGTGACTTCAGGTCCTTCTAGTTTGCCAAGGGCATTGTGGTGAGAGACAAAATGTAGCGTGAGCACCCTCTCACTCTCAACTCGGTTCCCTTCTTGCTTCAGTGGGCAACCTTTCCCAGGTGTCTCTTACTGTGTAAGTATGTGGCATGGAGGAGAGCACTTGTTAATTGCCTTGTGGATCCTAGAAGAAAACTTCCAGTTAAGGGATTTGTGGAAAAAGATTCTAAATCGCTTGTTTTGAATGAGACAATTTATGTAGTTAGGCTGGAGAAGGCAGCTTAAGCATCAGTCTCTCTGAAACCAGCCTCAGAGCAGTGGGGAAAGAAGGGGTGAGGGCACTGAGACCCAGATGCCCTGTGATACATTGGTAGCTTGTTTTAGTGGTGCTTTGTTACTATATTTGGATTCTACCACTAGACTTATATTTGAATTTTTAAAAAATTCTATTTCTGTTTTGATACATTTATTTTATTTATTTATTTATTTATTTATTTATTTGGAGAGATTTTTTCTAGAGGGTGTGCACGCTCGCCGGAAAGACAGAGAGACAGAAAGCGAGAAATCACCCCCCGGGTGGATGGCCATGCTGCAATCCCTTCTCCTCCATTCTCCTCTCAAGACCTTGGACATGCACGCACACATGCCCAGCGTCAGTTTAAGCCACTGGGTCCGGGACTCGAACTGTGGTTGGTTACGTGGGAGTCTAGCAACATAGCCATTACGCTAACTGCTGGTCACCATTTATTTGATTATTGATAAACTGAATTTAAACAGCTAATATATTTCAAAACAAAATGTTAACCAGTTTTCTGAAAAGTAATTTTTTTAATTTTAATTTTTTTAGAGAGAGAGATTTTTGCTGTTGGATATATTTGCTTGCTGACGAGACAGATACAGAGAGACCAAAAGTGAGGAATTGTCACCCAGGATGATAGCCACACCACAGTCCCTTCTCCATTCTCCTCTCAGAAGTTTGGGCTTGCACACACACATGCTTGGCTTGAATTTTAAGTTGCCATGTTTAGGATTCGAACTGCGTTCGACTCTGTGAGAATCCAGTAACATAACCAGTATGCCATGTGCTGGTCCTGATTTTTAATATACAAATATACAAACTATTAAAAATAAAAAGCATGCCTAATAAATTCCCATTTCTTTTTTTAACAATTTAGTTAATAGATTTTACAGTGATTTAAAACTCTTGTGAAGAGACGTGTGTCTTACTAAGCCAGGTTTTTTCCCTTATGTCTAAAATGCAAGGCTTTGATCATGATACATATTTTTAAAAAGCTAATAGAATTTATTTCTTAGAAATGTTTGAAATGCATAGCAAAGCTGATTAGAAAGCACAGAGTTCACATACACCTCCTGTTCTCACACAGGCACCTATGTATACATTTGAAATTTGTTAACTAGTAAGTTGTATGAGTTGAATGTTTTAGGAAGTAGTCTTCTTCACTCTCAACAATGTTTTTATGTTATTGAACTTTTAGCCTGTAAATATTGTTATTATTTTCTAAGAACCAATGCAGAAATAGGCATAACCTTTTATAAGCTTTTAAATTAAAAAGACAAATGAATGTTCTAATAAAGTCAGATTGTAGTTCTTAGAATATTTGGGAAATAGCCAAATTCTTTATTTAAACCTAAAAAAAGAAAATCATTTTAAAGGCTTGTACTTCATATAGAGTGAGCAACAGTTTTCACAGTTCATTTTGTTCACTTACCATGTGCCATAGGAGTTTAGTCACTGAAAAGCTGTTTAATAATACTTTCTAATTGATGTCCACCGTCATCCACACATACACCTTTTATTGGTATAAGGATGCAACTTGTTTTAGAGATTCATTTTTATCTGAAAAACAAAGACAACCAGTATTTTAATTTTCATAGTTTCATAATCCATTTTTATAGTTTTATATGGTAGCATTTAACCTGATAAGCATTATATTGTTTATTGGGAAACTGTTGGTTAAGAGGGGGTCTGGGATGAAGTAAAAATTTCCTTTTGCTTTAGTAGACAAATTTGAAATGGAAATTCTTTTTCTTTTCCCCTAGGTTTCTGTCACAGGGTGTGTGTGTGTGTGTGTGTGTGTGTGTGCTTGCCAGAGAGAAACAGTGAGAGGAAAAGTGAGAAGTCACTCCCACCCCAAAGGGAATGGCCATGCTGCATTTCTTTTCTTTTTTTTTTTTTTTTGAGAGGTTTTTCACTATAGGGCGCGTGCGCTCGCCAGACAGACAGAGAGAGACAGAGAGACAGAAAGCGAGAAATCACCCCCCAGGGGGGATGGCCACACCGCAATACCTTCTCCTCCATTCTCCTCTTGGGATCTTGGGGACGCACGCACACGCGCCCGGCGTGGGTTTTAAGCCACCGGGTCCGGGACGCGAACCGCGGTCGACTACGTGGGAGTCCAGCGACATAGCCATTACGCTAACTGCTGGTTCCCATGCTGCATTTCTTTTCCTGCATCCTCCTCTTGGGATTTAGGGCATGCACACACATGTACCCAGTGGGGGCTTTGAACTGTGTGGTTGGCCATGTGGAATTTATTTTACTACTGTATCATTGCTTTAGATATGTTTGATTCTTTTCTTTGACAGTTTTCTTTCTCTCTCTTTCTTTCTCTCTCTTTCTGCCTTTCCTCCTTTCATTCTGCCTCTCCTTTCTCTCTCTGTCTCTCTTTCCTTCCCCACTCTTCCTTTCTCTCTGTCATTCTCCATTTATTCCATGAATGAGAGTGACAAGGATCCAGCACTACCAACGGGGTCTTGACCCGTGGTCCACTCCCAGCTTTAGCCAGCCTAAATCATGAGCACATGGTTGCCCAGTGCACTCCAGGAGGCCTCCAGATGTGAATGGCAATTCTCACATGTGTGTCTGCCTGGCAGTGTTGCAGTTAACTGCTGCACTGCTGTCTGGGGCTCCTAGTTTCCTTTTGTTTCTTTGTCTTTTTTAACTGATGACGTAAGGGAATGTTCAAATACACATTTTAGAGCCTTAGTTTTAACACTATAGTAGTTCAACATCGGCATCCAGACTATAAGAATATAAGAAGTACTACTGATGTCTTGTTAAAATATTTTCACAAAATGAACTCTAAGAGCAGTATTAACCAAAAAACGTTCATCAGTTTTCTCCCCCCATTGTAAAAGTACAAGTAATTTACAGTCATAGTGAGTGAGAAGAGACATGTGAGAAATGGGTTTAGGGCAGTTAGTTTCCTGTGAATTAGGTAATCTCATGCTGTTAAGACCTTGTCCTAGTTTCATACACAAATCACCAACCTTTTATTTTTAAAGTGTTTTTATTAATAATTTAATAATTTAATAATTTTGATGAGATATAGCCAGAATCTAGTACACTTTCTAATTATATGTATAATATTACTTCATTTCTAGGGTTTGCAGATTGGTACTCGAGAACTGGAAGAGATGGGGGCAAAATTTTGTGTTGGTCTGTTGCGTTTGAAAAGACTGACATCTCCATTGGAATATAATCTGCCTTCCAGTCTGCTTGACTTTGAAAGTGACTTAATTGAATCAAGCTGCAAAGTAACTAGGTAGGATACACTTTGTTTTATCTGTTTATTACTCTGTAGTATACTATTAGACTTCATTAAATAGTTACACATAGAGACAGTTGCTCATAGCCAAGAGCATGTTTTAGAATCAGTAATGTAATTTTATGTATCTAATGTTCATTCCAAATAATGATAGTACAATATTTTAATGTTGGCATTTAGATGAGATTTTAATGAAATATCCTTATAACCTGAGAGCTGTTTCTAATTATCTTAATGGTTTGTTTTAACCCCAAAATAAGCTATCTGAGAATTATTGTATTTAGGTAATATTTAACTTAAGAGTGCTAAGAGTCAAGATTCACATTTCAAAAGAAATTTTATGTTCTTATTACCTGTGCGCATCAAATGTCTGTCCAGTAAACTGTGGTTATATACATTAGAACTAATTTAACATCGTTTGAAAATTTAACTACATGTGCCAAATGTTTTTCTAAATAGATAATTTTTTTCTAAAATTTAATGTATATTAATTTGATTCATCATGGGCTGATATAATTTGGTATCATAATTACTTAATTGTTATATTAAAATGACAGGTAATAATTGTACACATTTTTGAGTTATGGGGTGATATTTCAGTATATATATCCAATGAGTAATGATCAAATCAGGGTAAATTTCATATATGTCACCTCAAACATTTATATTGGGACCATTCAAAATCCTTCCATCTAGCTTTTTTGAAGTATACAATAAATTTTTATTACATATAGTCACCCTACAGTGTTCTTGCACTCTAGAATTTATTCCTCCTAACTGTAATTTTGTATTTGTTAACTTTCCTTTCTTAAACACCTTTCCCCTGACTCTTTCCAGCTTTTAGTAACCACTGTTCTGCTCTCTTACTTCCTTAAGATCAATGTTTTTAGCCTCTACACATAAGAGAGAATGTGCAATAAATACCTCTTTCTGTGCCTGACTTATTTCACTCAGCATAATATCCTCCAGGCACATCCGTGTTGCTTTGAATGACAGATTCTCTTCTTTATTATGGCTGACTAATATTCCATTTTGTATTTATACCACATTGTCCTATCCATTCACCTGTTAATGGATTTTATGTCTTGACTATTGTGAGTAGTTCTGCAGTAAACACAGGAGGGCAACTGTCTGTTTGACATGTTGTTATCCCTTCCTTTTGCTATATACCCAGTAGGGTTGCTGGACCACACGCGTCAAATAGTTTTTGAGGACTCTTTTACACTGTTTTCCATAGAAGTTGTACTATACTAACGATACTCCCTGTACTAACTGATACTCTAACCAACATTGTGTGAGCTCCATTTTTTCCGCATCCTTGCCAGCATTTGAGAGATAGGAGTCTATTTTCATTCTCTTGCATGTGGACATCCAGTTTTCCCAGTACCATTTATTTAAAGAGACTGTCCTTTCCCCGATGAATGTTCTATTGTCTAAACCCAGTTGGCTGTACATATGTATGTTTATTGCTGGGCTCTCAGTTCTGTTCTGTGGTCTTTGTGTCTGGTTTTATCCCAGTACCATGCTGCTTTAGATACTTTGACTTTATAGTATACTTTAAAATCAAGCAGTATAATGCCTCCAACTTAGTACTTTTTGCTCAGGATTGCTTTGGATATTTGTCATCTTTCATGGTTGCCTGCAAAATTTATGATTATTTTTCCTATTTCTTTAAAGAATTTCATTTTTTAAATTTTTTGTATTTTTGCTATAGGTCACATGTACTTACAAGAGACAGAGAGAGGGAAGGTGAGAAATCACCCCCTGGGGAGATGGTCATACCGCAATCCTTTATCTTCCATTCTTCTTGGGATTTTCAGCACACACACCTGGTGTTTTTCAAGTCACTGGGTCCAGGACTCGAACTGTGAGGTTGGACATGGGGGATCCATTTGCTTTAACCACATGCTCCTTAGCTGACTCCTCATTGGATTTAACTCTGGATTGCTTTGGCTGGTAAGGTCATTTTTGAAATACTGAATGTTAATTCTTCCAATCCATGATTATGAGATATCTTTCCTTTTTTTTTTTTCTTTTGTGCCCTCTTCAATTTCTTTTTTATCGCTGTTTAATAGTTTTTACCATAGAATTCTTTCACCTCCTTGATTAAATTTATCCCTGGGTATTTTGATGTTGTTGCTAATGTTCATGGGATTACTTGCTTGATTTCTTTTTTGCCTGTTTGCTATTGCTGGATAGAAATGCTGCTGATTTTTATCTGTCACTAACAGGCAGAATGTATCCTGCAACTTTACTAAACTCATTTATTACTTCTAAGATTTTTTTGGTGATGTCTTTAGGTTTTCCTTTGTATAAGATCATATCAAACATCACAGTTTGACTTTCTCCTTTGTAATTTGGATGCTCTTTATTTCTTTCTCTTGCCTAATTGCTCTGGCTCCAATTTCAGGTCAAATTAGAATAAGTAAATAAATAAATACATTTAATTAATTCTTTAAAAAATAAAAAGAGTGGAATAGTAGGCATCCTTGTCTTGTTCCAACTCTTAAAGGAAAACCTTTTAACTTTTCCTTATTTAGTATATTTGCTGTGGATTTCTCATTTATAGCCTTTATTGTGTTGAGGTATGTTCTTTCCATTCCTAATTTGTTGAGAATTTTATTACGAAGGAATGTTTTGAGTTGTTGGAAAAGTCATGACCCATTTTTATGTAGAAAAACACTTAAAAAAAAGTCATGACTTAAGAAAACCCAGTAGAATTTTATGAAATGCCGTTTCTGTGTTTATTGAGGTGATCGTAAGGTTTTTCTTCATTTTGTTCACATTATGTGTCACATATTGATTTGTGAATGTTGAACCATTCTTGTGTCCCTGGGGTAAACTGTACTCAGTCATCCCACTTGGTGTATAATCTTTTTGATGTGCTCTTGGCTTCAGTTTGTTAGTGTTTTGTTGAAGATTTTGGCATCTGTCTATGTTCATCAAGAATATTGACGTGGGGACTAGCAGATGGCATAATGGTTACATCGTTGGACTCCCAAGTAGCCAACTGTGGTTTGATTCCCAGACCCAGCAGCTTAAAACTTACATCAAGTGTGTGTGGATGAGTGCCCAAGATCCCGAGATGAGAGTGAAGGAAAAGGGATTGTGGTGTGGTCATCCCTCCTCGGGGGGTGATTTCTTGCTTTCTGTTTCTCTGGCAAGCACATGTACCCTATATCAAAAATCTCTCTTAAAATAAAATATATTGACCTGTAATATTCTTTTTATGTTGTGTCCTTGCCTGGTTTTGGTATAAAGTTAATACTGGCTATGTAAAATGAGTTTGGGAAAATTTCCCCTCCTTATATTGGAAAGGTTTTGGTGTTAAGTCTTTTTAAAGGTTTGATTAAATTCAGCAGTAAAGCCATCAGCTTTGAACTTCTCTTTGTTAGAAGGCCAGTTATTGATTCAGTTCTGTTACCCATTATTGATCTATTCAGGTTTCCTCTGTCTTCTTGGCTTATTCTTGGTAAGTGTTATTTGTTGAGGCATTTATCTATCTCTTCTAGGGTTTTCTTTTTTTTCTTTTTTTTTTTTTGTGAATAATTGTTCACAGTAGTCTCTAGTGGTGCATAGTCATTCATAATAGTCTCTTAATAGTCTTTTATATTCTTGTGGTTTCCGTTTTAACGGTCTCCTTTTTGTGTCTGATCTAATTTATTTGGGACTTTTTTCTGTTTTTCTTAACCTAGCTAATGGCTTGTTGATTTTGTTCATCTTTTCACAAACACCAACTTTTTGTTTCTTTGATCTTTTGCATATGGTAGTTTTTAGTTTCAACTTCATTGATTGCTGTTCTGATCTTTTTTTTTTTTTTAATTTCCTTCTACTAATTTTGAGTCTGGTTTGTTCTTTTCTAGTTCCTTGAGGTATATCACTAGGTTGTTTATTTGAAATAATTTTATTTTTTAGTGTAGATGTTTCTACTGCTGGGTCATTGGAAAAGTCATGATGCATTTTTGCACAGAAAAATATATTGTGACTTCTGATGACCTAATACAAAGCTCCTTCTCTATCCTGCTTTTGTTGAACCCCATAGGTTTTCATATGTTATGATTCTATTTTCAAATAATTTGAAAGATTTTTAAATTTCCTTCTTAATATCTTTCTTGACCCATTGGTCATTGAGGAGCATGTTTAATTTCTAGGTTTTTTTACAGTTCTGAGGTTTCTGTTACTGCTGATTTCTAGTCCGATTCTATTGTAGTTAGAAAAGATAATAGATATGATTTTGATTTTTTTTAAATTTGTTTTGACTTGTTTTATTTCCTCACATATGGCCTATCCTGGAGAGTGGCCTGTGGGCTGATAAGAAGAAGGTATATTCTGTAGCTGTAACCTAATGTAATTTAAATATAGGCCCCTTTGGTCTATTATATTGTTTAAATTTGATCTGTTTTTGGTGATTTTATGTATAGATGATCTGTTCTTTCAGAGTGGAGTGAAATCTCCATCATATTTGCTTTATATATTTGGGTGCTAGTGTTAGTTATGTATTACAGTGTTAGTGTATGTGTTATATTTATAGTTGTTAGATCTCAGGCTCAATTGATCCCTTTATCATATATAATGATTGTCTTTTTTTAAATTTTTTACAGTTTTTTACTTAATATCTGTATCAGATATGGCTATTTCTGCTTGCTTTTGGTTTACCTAGAATGCTTTTTTAAAAATCCCTTCATTTTCGGACTTTTTTTTTTTCCTAAAGACTTATCTAATTAATTTTATTTGTTCATTCATTTATTTTAATTTGACCAGAGAAACAAACACACACACACACACACACACACACACACAGGAGAGAGAGAGAGAGGGGGAGAGAGAGAGAGAGAGAGAGAGAGAAGGCAAGCCATCAGATCCAGGACTCAAACCATGGTTGGCCATGTGGGAGTATCCAGCGCCTTAACCACTACGCCACCTGCTGGTTCCCAATTTTTCAGTCTTATGTGTGCCTTTATAGGTAAAGGGAATTTTTTTTTTCCCCCCAAGAGGTT